CATGACCTGAACTTAGTTTAAGGGTGTCCTCGCCTTCCCGCCTGACCTCTCCCAATCCTACTATATCCCACTTTATATGTGTAAGATCTCTTTCCAGTTCTTCTACGTGCGCTTGTGTACTCAGAGTCCGTGTGTTATACGTAGCCAAAAGTAGTTGTGTGAGGCAGCCAGATCTCTTCCAGTGATTCTTCGCACCCCCCGTCTTACCGTAACCATGACCGCTGCCGTAGTCCGGAATAGTAAGACTGCTGGGGACTGGGGGCCATGATTTCTTGGAGCTTTCCATGAAGGTTTATTGCCTAAACTCGCCACGTTGGCAAAACGGCTTGGCGAGTCAGTCCCTTCTGAGGGTATTTAGTTCCTCATGGTTACTGATACCAATTGGACGGGTTATTTGACCGTCGCCCGTGGCTCGGCGTTGGTGAGCTTACGGCAGTTTAGATCACCGATCTGCCTACCCTCCTCCTTTCACATACGGGCTTGGGACCGTCAACGGCGGAGTTAAATATATATATATATATATTATTTAATTATTATATTATTAATTATTATTATTACCTTTATTTCATTAAATATACATACAAAATTATATTTCTAAATATTAAATTTTTACAGTGTATAACATTAAAAAAATAACATTTAAAAATACAAAAATGTAGTTCCCCATCGGCAGCAAGATCAGGGTCCCTGCTACCGGTGGTTAAGGATCCAGAGACAGAAACCTCCTCACTATACGGGCCGTGTCCAGAAGTACTGCCTTCTGCATCTGACTCTTGACCCAACCACCTAACGCGAGCCTCTTAAGGTGTTTATCGAGGCTCTTGGCTATCAAACCATGGGCAGATATGATTATCGGTACAACAATTGCTGAATCGATGTCCCACATGTCAACAATCTCGCGAGCTAAATCAAGATATTTGTTTTCTTTGTCTTTTTCAGCTTTTACAAGGTTGTCGTCATGGGGGACAGCGACATCAACAACTACTGCACGGCGTTCATGTCGATCTATCAATACAATATCGGGCTTATTAGCCACAATAGTCCTGTCTGTAATGATAGATCGATCCCAATATAATGTGGCATGGCTATTTTCAAGAACCTGTTCTGGAGCATACCTGTAGTAAGGAACCTCAGATGCTAAAAGATTGTATTTCAAAGCAAGTTGTTGGTGTATTATCCTGGCCACTTGGTTATGTCTGTGCAAATACTCGCCATTTGCGAGACGAGAACAACCGGAGATTATATGCCTAAGGGATTCACCTGGGCGATGGCACGCACGGCAAACATCCAATGTGCCATCCTTCAGTATAAACCTCCGGTAGTTCTTCGTCATCACAACCTCATCCATAATTGCACAGATAAAACCTTCGGTTTCACCAAAAAGGTCACCGTTATTATTATTATATTATATTAATATTATATAATATATATATATATATATATAGTATATATAGTATAGTATATAGTATAGTATGGATGCCTAGAAGTGGGTGCGAATTATTTTGCAAAATTTTGAGGAAAAATCTATCACTGAGATACTGTCTACGGAGAAAAAGTGGAGGGTCCGCACTTTCTATTTGGAGGGCATTATTAGGGGAAGACTTCATTGTGCCTACAATAATGCGTAAACATTTCGACTGGATTTTGTCCATTTTATCCAGTGCCGCTTTATTGCAGGGATCAAGAAGGAAGGAATGGCGTTATAAATCAGCTTTTGAGTTTCTGGGTGTGCACCCCATCAAACGCCAGAGAGCGCTCGCAGGACATTGACACTCTTTTCTGCTTTATTAGCAACATTATTGAAATGAGGGGCACCTGTTAATCTGGAGTCCAATATCATTCCTAAGAACTTCACCGAGTCTTTAACCTCAATATGAGAGTCTTGGAATTCAGTGATCGGAACTGATACATTTCGCTTCCTGGTGAAGACAACCGCGCTACATTTTGGGGTGGAGATGGATACCCCGTGATCCTCCAGCCATTCGCCGAGATAAAATAATGCAGAGTTCAGTCGTGATGTAGCTTCCGAAATAGATTTTACTCGAACGTAAAGAGCTAAATCATCTGCGTACTGTAGGGTTTGGCAAAAAGAGTTTGTGGAAAGTTCCATGTCATGTGTGTATATGCTATACAGGATCGGACTAAGGGGCGAATCTTGTGGTAACCCTTTCCACACTGTCCTAACTAATGAAAGGTTTTGTGACTTTATCAGGATGGATCTAGACGAGATTGAATTACATATGAAAGAACCAATTTCTCGGGAATGCTCAGCTGTTGCATTTTCTGCCTGAGCACTGGAATTAGGACATAATCATATGCGGACGCTACGTCTAAGAACACCCCTACGAGGTATTCTTTATTTTCATATGCTAATCGGATGTCTGATGTAAGTACGGCAAGATTGTCTAGTGTACTATATCCTTTCCTAAACCCGAATTGAGATTTAGCTAGTATATTACGGTTTTCTACAATCCACTCAAGGCGATTTTTATCATATGTTCCACAACTTTTAGTAAAACAGACGAGAGTGCAATGGGGCGGTAAGAGGAGTGATCGGAAGGGCTTTTACCTGGCTTTAATAGTGGTATAATAATCTGTTTGGACCATTGTTCAGGGATTAAACAATTGTCATAGAAGGTGTTTATTAGTTTGAGATAGTAATATTTTATTTTGTCTGTGGCTCTTATCAAAAACGAGTATGGAATCCCATCAAGGCCTGGGGATGTATCCTTCAAACCAGAAAGGGCTTTTTCAAGTTCATCAAAAGAGAAGGATCCACCAAGTGAGTCTGTAGAAGATAGAATAATGCTGGTCCTAACTGGGAGATAATCCCAATTTGGAACAGTGGGAGGAGCCAATCTGTCGGCAAACAGATCAATCCAGTTGGAAGGGTCGTTAGCGGTCAAATTGGCGCGGTTGCCAGCTTTGCGGAACCTTTTTAATTGATTCCAAACTATTGTTGAAGAGGTACAAGGAGTTAAAGTTTCACAAAATTTGGTCCAACCGGATTTTTTCTTTTGTTTAAGATCCTTTTTGGTTTGAGCCGCAACTCGCTGGTATGCCGTATTAAAGTATTAAAGCTGGTATTAAAGTTGTCCATTGTCATGGAACCATTATATGTTTTTTCCGCTTCTTTTCGTCTTCTAACCGCTTCTGAGCATTCAAAGTCCCACCATGGAGGTATGACTCTTTTTCTTTTGTTTTGTTTTTTGGGAATATTACTATGAGCCGCATCCATCAACGAATCGACCAGCACTCCATAAGCCTTGAGGCAGTTTTCTGTCGAAATTGCGGGTAGTGTGTCCGCTTTGTTATCAAGTGATCTAGAATAGGCATTCCAATCTGCTTTCTGTAGTCTGAATTGAAGCAAGGGGGTAGGGCGACTGGCAGGGGGGGAATTGTCCAAGATGGAGATGAAAATCGGAAAGTTATCGCTGCCATGTGTGCTTTTTAATACATTCCAGGAAAGGTTGGATGCCAAAGAAGGGGTGCAAACTGTAATGTCTACAGCAGATGGATGCTGACCTGGGCGACTCCTTCTGGTAGGACTCCCATCGTTAATTATACAAAGGTCTCTTTCATCTAGTAGGCTCAGAAGTTGGGAACCAAGTGAATCATTTGTATGAGCACCCCATGAGACATGGTGTGCATTAAAGTCTCCCATTGATTGCTATGTAATCAATGGATAGGACAGGATAACATAAGTTTAACGGGACTTACCAAACACCTGTTGTTAGTATATATAGTAAACACTTGTTAGTTTCGTAATTCTACGTAGAAAGGAAACTAAATTCACTTATAAGAATAGATATCCCTTTGACACGTGTAATAACCAACACTAGCGAGGGCAGAATCCCCTTGAAAATATTACTGTAATGAAAAATATTCTCGACATTTCTACTAATGACAATGACTTATACCTCGTTTACATGGAGCGCGAGTAAGGAGGGAAGTGGGCAGGGAAGTGGGCATGACGAGTATGTAAACACGATACTCGTCATGCCACTGCCATTGCCACTCGCGCTGCCCGGCGCTCCCCAAAAGAGCGGTTTTTGTGCGGAAGTCAAAGGACCGGCAGCGCGAGTGGCAATGCGTGTTCACACTCTGCGCGTCGCTTAGTTCCCGCCACGCGCTTGGTGGAGAAAGATATGAAATTAAAAATTATTAATGAATTAAATATTAATTAATCATCATCATCATCAGCCTATTAATGTCCCCACTGCTAGGGCACAGGCCTTCCCTATGGATGGAATAGGGAGATTGGGCCATGACCCACCACGCGAGCCCAATGCGGATTGGCGGGTGCTAACGACTGCAGATGCAGCCGGGACCAACGGCTTAACGTGCCTTCCGAAGCACGGAGGAACTCGAGATAGAAGATTTTTGGTCACCCATCCAATGACCGAGTTGCTTAAATTCAACGATCGCAGCCGAACGCGCTAACCACTTGCGCCATCGAGCTCCTCAATATTAATTAATTATTAATATTTATTAATTTATTTATATTAAAATTATTAATTATTTTAATTTCGAACATAATTATGGATTGCAAATAGGCAGCGCGGCCGCTGTTATTACTTCGACGTCTGCCATTGCCGAAACTCTGAAGCGAAGTGAGAGGTAGGGCAGTATGTAAACACATACTTCTCTCAATCATGTCGCAGCAATATTTAGGGAATTATTGCCGGCAACGCGAGGGGCAGCGGCATGGGCATAGTCTAAACGAGGTATTTTACACAAACGACCTGGCTTCGGCCTTACTGGAAAAAACACAAAAGAAGACAATAATAAAAAGAAAAACGATAAGAAAGAAGAAGAAGTACTTTGAAGACAAGATATCTAAAAGATGATTTGGCTCCGGCCTCAAAAAAGAAGAAATACAACTCATCAGCACATATTATTTACAACATATTCATTTTGAAAATAAACTAAAGAATTGGCTGTATGGGCACGGTACCCTTTGCCTACCCAGAATGGGTAAAGAAACTAAAAAAATAATCACTGTCTGTGCTGTGCAGCAGTATTTCAATTTGAAAATAAAAACATTTTTAAATCTTTTTAATTAAATTGGTGAATATTATCAAAAAATGCGCCATTGTGTTTTGAGATGCCTTTTAGATTCTCATGCACCAATTACATTAGGCCACAACGTAGAAGTTTTAGTTGGTCGGAGCAAAATTACAAAAATTAAAGATCAGTCTTGTTCTCGTCAGCAATGTAAGTATTTGGATATTAGCCTTCAGCTACTGCAGTGATTATGATGGTAATAAGCATTCTTTAATGGGTTTAATGCGATAACAATAATAAAGCTTTAAATATGTGGTTTATTAACAAACAAGATGTGGTCTGTTTTGAGTTCCAACCATTAAACCAATGTTAACAAACAAACTTTTTGTTGCTTTTCATGTTACTATATAAATACACAATGATTTGTAGTAAAACTCATAGCAGATTGTGAAGAATGTTCTGTAGAAATTACACAACTAGGGATAAATCCATCTGGCCTTGATGGATTTGCTCTGAAGAGAAATTTGCCCTACAGAGTTGGTCATGGAAGCAAACTTGAAGTACTGTTTAATCATTATATTCATTTAATTGAGTTTATTCCACCACCAGAAGGATGTGAAACAACAAAAAATTGCAATAAAAGAAAATTGGATACTGATGATATATCCAAACAAAATAAAAAACTAAAAGCAGAAATGGAACACACAGATAATATACAATGCAAAGAAACAGATGAAGCTATATGGGAAGAAATAGATAATGGAGAACTGTACATATTTACACCTAAAGGTGTTAGATCCAGCAATAAAATTGCTGCTTTTGACATGGATGGCACCGTGATCCAGACTAAATCTGGAAAAGTACATCCAGTTGACATAAATGATTGGAAAATAGCATTTCCCAATGCAGCAGAGAAATTAAAAGAACTTAGAATTCAAGGTTACAAAATAATAATATTGAGTAATCAAGCTCCAATAGGCAATGGAAGAGTAAAAATAGATGATTTTAAGAAAAAAATTGAAGGTATTTTAAATAAACTGGATGTGCCAATTCAAGTATTTCTGGCCACAGGCAAAAGTATTTATAGAAAACCAACAACTGGCATGTGGAAGATTTTAACAGAAAAGGTAGATTTGCATATATTTTTTTAGTTATTTCATTTAACAATAAGTTTATTCAATAAATAATATAAATTAAATCACCAAAAACAATTTCTAATTTTCAGAAAAATGATGGTATAATAATAGCAAAAGATGATAGTTTCTACTGTGGTGATGCTGCTGGTAGAGTGGCCAACTGGGCACCAGGTAAAAAAAAGGATCATTCCATGGCAGACAGATTAATGGCAGAAAATTTGGGTTTGAAATTCTATACACCAGAACAATTTTTCCTTGGACATTCTATTACTAATGTTCCTATGAGTAATCCTGAATTTACACCTAAGGAAGTAAAAGCAGAACCATTCAACAACAATTTAATTAGTGCACAACAGGAGGTTAGTGTCTTTATAAATAATTGTTTTATTTTATAAACCTCCATCAATCATACTGTATGTAGGTAATGCTCTTATTTTCAGATACTTGTTCTAGTTGGATTCCCTGGTAGTGGTAAATCATTTTTGTCCAAGCAAATTGAGGAGAAGTCCAATAATAAATATGTAGCTGTGTGTAGAGATATATTAGGTACTTGGCAAAAATGTGCTTCTGAAGCAACAAAATTGCTAGAGGTTAGTATTGATATCATTTACCCTCATCATATAATCTCGATGAGCTCAAATGCACAAATGGATCTGCATTCATGGAGGTTAAGCAGATTTTGCAATCACCGGTCATTGGAAGGGTGACCAAAAATTTATTTTCTCGAGCTTCTCCATGCTTAGGAAGGCACTTTAAGCCATTGGATCCAGTTGCATCTGCAAATGTTAGCACCCTACACAAGGCCCGTATAAATTTCACCTATCTACCTGTTAGCCCTCGTTTACACCAAGGTATAATACATGTATTTAACAAATTTCTAAAAAAGTCATTTTTTGTTAAAACCCATATACATAACATGTAGTATACAATACTTGTATCAAACTTGTTGGAGAAACAAAATATGTGAAGTTTTTTTTTGTTTTTTTTTCAGTCATCATCAGTCATCAGTCCTCAAGGACTTTTATCAATTTTGTTGCATGCGGAATGACTTTAGGAGAGAAGAGGCCAGTGCCTCAGCTTCCCAGCTAAACAACATTATGTCTTCTGAGTCTGTTAGTTATATTCAACGTATCTAGCAATTCGTTGGCCAGTGGGTTTGGGTGCATGGTTAGTCGTTGGAAGTGTCTTTCCTTGCAGCCTTGTATTTCTTCTATTATAGTGGCAATATTTGGGTACTCATGGATTTCGCTGTTTCGTGAGTACCATGGTGCGTTTGGTATGGTACCATGTTTCGGAGAATTCCGTTTTGAGCTCTTTGAAGGCACATTATGTTGCTGTTACTGGCCACTCCCCATAATTGAATACCGTAAGTCCATACAGGTTTAAATATAGAATTGTAAAGAAGCAGTTTGTTGTCCACTGTGAGAACTGAATTCCGTCCCATCAGCCAATAAAGGTTTTTAAACTTTTATGTTTATCTGGTCACACTTCTGTTTGATGTGTGTTTTCCAAGTTAACCTTTTGTCCAGATTAAAACCCAGATACTTGACACAGTCGGTCTCAGGTATATCATTGTTGCCTAGTTTTACTCCAGGGCAATTTCCTCTCCTTAAAGTAAAGTTGATATGATGCGATTTGTGTGCACTGGCGCGGATACGCCACTTGAGCATCCAGGTGTTATCTCTGTCCAGCAGTGACTGAAGTTTAGAGCTGGCTCTTATGGGGTCTTTGTCGCGTGATAGGTAAGCAATGTCATCGGCATAAGTCGCAACAGCCACATCGGGGCTGGTGGGGAGATCGGATGCGAAGATGTTATATAGAACTGGGCCTATAACTGATCCCTGTGGAACTCCAGCTTCGATCTTATACAGCTTAGATCTTGCCTCACCCAACTTAACTTGTAAACGTCTTTCGGACAAATATGATGCGATGATTGGGAAAAACCAATGAGGAAGCTTGTCCTTCACCTTACTCAATAGGCCTTTATGCCAAACACGATCAAAGGCCTGTTGTACATCCAGAAAAACGGCTGAGGTGTATTCCTTCTTCTCAAACCCTTGTCTTATTGTATGGTAAACACGATGAACTTGCTCAACAGTTGAGTGCGATTTCCTAAATCCAAACTGATGTGAAGGGACCAAGTCACATTCATCCATTGCAGATTTTAGCCTAAGTAGAAAAAGTCTTTCCCATAATTTTGACAATACCGGTGTAAGGCTAATAGGACGGTATGACGATGCTTCATTTGCTGGTTTGCCTGGCTTGTGAATGAGTATGATTTGAGAAATTTTCCATAATTCGGGCACATAGCAATTTCTAAACACAGCGTTGAAGAGATATGTCAAGTAAATAATGGCCTTTCTGGGTAATTCCTTAAGAACTTTTGGTGTGATTAAATCAAAACCAGGAGCCTTGTTTGTGTCTAAGGATCTAATTTCGTTTGCTACTTCCCTGGGAGATACTGCTTTGATCGGTAACGCCATTTGAAAGTCTCTTTTAAGGTTATTTTCTATATCTTCGTCAATTGTTCCGTCGTTGGGTGTAAAGATTTTTGATAGATGAATCGCAAATGCTTGAGCTTTTTCACTATCTGTTCTTGCCCAGGACAAGTCGTGAGCTCTAATGGGAGGATTGTGTTTTTCGACTTGTCAAGGTTTTTTTGTCGCCTTCCATAGAGAGTGTTCTCCTTGGTCAGCTGCAGATAGTAGTAATATTTTTGATCGCAGTTCCTCATTTGCCGAATCTCTGAGCATTAACTTTTTTGCGGCTCGGTTAAAGTGAGTTTTGTCTGATGGATGGCGAGATAAGTGCTTTCGACTTTTTCTTCGATCTTGAGTTTGATTTCAGTTGTTAGAACTTTAAGCTTGTCTTGTTGGTGTTTGACTATCTCAGGTGAATTGATCCAACAGGCTGTTTGGCTGAGGTTAGTTATACATCTGCAGGCCTCGTCAACATCATCAGGGGTTTTTAAAGCAAGATTTAATTCTATGTTTGTTTCCAAAATATGTGAAGTAAACGAGTGATTAATACATGTCAAGATACTAGGTTTGTTGTCTATGCAGTGTAAATAAAAAAAATGTTTTAAACATTCACAACTATTTTACAAATTTGTACAAAACTAGTTTATGATGTTTCTTGGCGAAAACAAGGGGTTACAGTATTCAAGATACAATCTGCTGACAGATAGGTGGGGGCAAGATTGAGGCTTATGGAGTTTAGATGTTATACCATTTCATCTGGCCCAAGGGCTGCCTGAAATGAGCGGGGAGGAGTCCCACATACCTTCTTCTCCCTCCCCTGGTGGCTGAAGGATGCTTAAGGCATTTCCCAGACAAAAAAAAGATATGTACCAAAACATTACTTTAAATTAATATGTTCTTTATAAATAAGCTTCGGTCATATTTAAAGTTCTTTGTAACATTTCTAATGAATAGATGTTTCATGTTACTTTTTTTAGAAAGGCAAAAGTGTAATCGTGGATAGCACTAATCCAGACTTGGAGTCTCGTTCAAGATGGACAGCATTGGCAAAACAGATGGATGTGCAGTGTAGATGTGCCAAATTGGCAACGACCAAGGCACATTCACAGCATAACAATAAATTCAGGGAGCTCATGAAGATCAACCACGTTCCTGTTAATGACATTGTCTTTCATTCTTACAAGTAAGACATTGACACTATATATCTAGCTATTTTCCCAGAGAGTCCCAGGTGGGGTAGGCAGAGAACCGAGCGCCATAAGATACGGTCTATACAATCATCTTTCGCTTCATTTACATTCATTACTCTTATATTCTTCATACACGCCCGCCAGTTTATGCTGCTTCTGATGTCGCCAACCTTGAAAATGCGATCAATTTGATCGTGCTAGACGAGTCTTCGCCTTCTCCGGCTTTTAAATCCTATCCTTCCTCTATCGCGTCGTATATCTTTTTCATCAATCCGTCATTAGATTTGTTTCCACATGTCCCAAACAACAGAGCATGTCTCGTGTCAATTTTAACACCAATACTGTCGTTCACACCGACTCTCTTTCTTACTTCCACATAACGAACGCGGTCTGCGAGCGTCATTCAGTAAATTTAACGTAACGCCCTCTCCACTGCGTTTTTTTCACTTTATGCTCCATCTGACATACCCAACTCTCGCTTCCATACATTGGCGTTGAGACCAGCACCGCATTGTGTATAGCGAGTTGTACCTTCTGGCTTAGTTTGTACCGCCAAGGAGTTTTCCCAAAACTCCATTTACTCTATTTCCTACATCCACTCTTCTCTTTATGACAGCGGTGTAACTTCCATCCCTGCTAAAAGCACATCCAAGATATACGATCTCATTCATTTGTTCCAACACTACATCGTTAACCGTAATTCTAACATTTGTTCTGAATTCCTCTCGTTCGAAAACCATTTAATATTTGTTTTCTTTGCATTCACTTGTAAGCCATATTTCATACAATCATCTTTCATAACTGTGATCAGTGTCTGCAAATCAGCTGACTTATTTTCAATTAACACCGGCGTCGTCTATCAGCGTATAGCAGGCAGTTAACAACTAGATCTCCCTTTCGCATTCCAACATCCATCGACCCTTTACTTGTCGTGATATATGAAGAATAACCAGCCTGACTGAGCTCGCAGCTCTGCTTGACACTAACATTGCCAAATCACCGCGACAAGCTGCCGCCCAATACAACAACACAGTACAATCTTTATAAGTTGATGACACAGCACGCAGGGAACAGTCAATCCTATAGCTCGGCTATATATTCCAGAGATCCTTTCGCACAATTTTGTCAAATGCTTTCTCAAGATCCAACAACCACAGAAAACCTTCCGGTCCAGAGCCAGATACTTCTACACGATGTTGCGGAGCGAGAAAACTTGATCCGTGCCTCCCTTCCATTCCCGAATTCCCCCTGTGCCCCCCACGGCATTCCATCGGATTTCACTCTCATTTATTTTCCCATACAACTTTAAAGTGCGAGCCCATTTATGTTTAGAAGATGCCATCGACAAATCTGCAACTGATTTTTAGCTTTATGTCGTTTGATATACGTTATATTTACAATTGATTGAGAAAATTAGACTCTTGTAGTAATCTGTGGCAAAATTGAGTTACTTTTTTCCTGTTAACATAATGGTGACTTCACTGCTTCTTTACAGTAAAAAATTTATTGAACCAACTTCAAAGGAAGGTTTTAAGGAGATTATTGAAGTCAAGTTCAATCCATGTTTCGATGACAGTACAGGAGAAGAATTATATAGAATGTATTTATTGGAAAAATAAGATTAAGGAGGGTGAAGAAAACAATATTGTGATATAGTCAGCATTTTTAATATTCCAGATAGACTTGAATAGATGACAAATGATTTGTAGCAGTTTTATTTAAGCAATAAATTTGTTGAATTAATACTAGGCCGACTTTTATTTTGTAGACCTTTACGGCATCTTTAGCAGCTCACTATAAATCTGTATAATAGGGATGATGACTGACTTTTTTTCTTCGTTATCAGGTAGATTACCTAAAACTTTTGGACACGTATTTTTTCTATATTCACATAATTAAATCATAACAGAGGATGATGCATGACGTCAAGCCTTGGTACAATTTTTACATAGTAACGTCACTTCGTCACTAAATACTGCTAGTGGGGGCCTACAATCAAACTTAGACACGCTTTATCCTCGTCATGTTTTGATTGATTGACAAAAGAAAAAATAAGTATCCCAATATTTTTTGATAATCTAACTTTTGGACTTAATAGAATTTCGTTTAATTTACCCCGTCATCATTCCTAATAAAAGTATTTTACTACTAGATAAGGCATTACAATATACATTTAAGTTATGTGAAAAAATATCGACTATTATAGGACATATTAAGCAAAGCTGTGATTGATCATATAATAATAATTAATTGCTGATGGACGGATATGTAGATTAATAATACGTATCACATCACTTTTTAAAAAGTTATATGTAAGTACCTAATTGATGTACATACTCATAATGTACGTAAAATGATTTTCATTTTAACTTTATATTGACTTGCTATTGGATTTTATTCAGAAAATCCCTACATTTTTAAGGCGTTAATTACAAAAGCTTTTTCACCTAATAAGTGTTAACTTTTTTTCTATCTTATTCAGCGACTAGCAGATGCCCGCGACTTCGTCCGCGTTAACTTTGGTTTTTGTTTGAGGGATAAAAAGTACCCTATGTCCCAATCCAGGGTATAAACTACATGGGTATAAACTACATGAGTAGAAACACACAAACATACAAACTTTCACATTTATAGTATTAGTAGTTGGATAATTACCACTACAATGAAGGAGAATTTATTACAATATATCAAGCTATTCGAATTAAGCTTTTAAGAAACTTTTATCTTCAAAGTACAAACAGTGGTTCTTGCAGATGGACGCGCTATCGCTGATGTAGTTATGTACTTGGTAATGTTTTGACAAAACATAACGTAGCATGTTAGCATCTGATCGCAAGATTTCACATGAATTTTATACCTATGTTTCTAAGTACCTACTACGAAAATTGAATTAATTTTATTTCACGTAGGCTAATGTGTGTGAATGCCACACTGTCTCCATATTCTTTCAAAATAACTACCTACTTTTTGACATTCGCAAATGTACAGATTCTCATTTCGCCGGATCCAGTACAGTAGTATGGCGAAATAAATATTAATAATAATACATTTATATATTCCAGTCAATGGTTAAAAAAAATTACTGTTTTTTACTTGTTATAAAACCAAGCGAATTACCAATGCCATCGAAGGTGAGCAATTTGGCATCACTTATTTATTACAAGATGACTTATTACAAGTATTCCGAAAAAGCAACGTTAACACTTATTTTTGTGATTGCTGAAGAAGAAGGCACCATAACTTTATATGATTAAAACGATTACAATTAGACTTAATTGGTTTTAACATTGAAAATGTTTTTTCGCAGTGAGCCCCCATTTTCGCTGAAAGTGCGACTCGTCCGTGATACCCCGAGGTTTAGGGCTACGAGGACGTACGAGTGCTCATATGATGTGGAATTTGAAGGGCTTTATGAAGATGTTATGTTATAATTATTTTCGAAATGTCAAAGAAATCGAAAAAATCGTGTGTTTTCACAGAAAATTTCGGACCGAATTTCTAAATATGAAAAAAAAGCATTAAACACACCTCGGTATTGAACCTAGAAATATTTTAAGTCGTTACACTTTTTCGCTATTGTTGACGGTAAGGGCACCTCTACAGCCTCAAGGCTGTACGTGCGGCCACGGGAATGTATGAGAGCTCAAAAGACGCGGAATTCAAAGGGCTTTAAGATGATGAAAAAAAAATTGTTTTTTTTTTAATAATCTATAATAGGTAGATTCATTTTCAATGCCCTTTCAAGTTGTGTAGAGCACGAGATCTGTGATTTTATTCCTATGCTAGATTGATTCGATTTTCAGTTTTTTTAAATCAATAGCAGAATAAAGCTTTGGGGTGTTCTCAAAGCGTTTTTCTTGTTAACTGTATTCCGACGAAATAAGAATCCGTCTTTTTGCGAATCTGACCAAGTGGAACAAATCGTTTATGATTGTCACAAACTTAAAGCTCAGACCAAATAAAACTTAAAGGTGGTATTCTGATCTCCGCTGCAGATGCAGGCATCATTTGCAGCGGCTGCGTGTAGTCCGACTGCGAATGTACGACTATTTATATTCATTTATATGTATTTTATCAATTACCCTAGTATCCCATAACACAAGCCTGCACTGCAAGCATACTTTGGGGCTAGGTTAATTGGTGTGAGTGTTGGAAATATTTATCTATTTACTATTATAATTTGTATGAAGCACTTTCCGAACGCAGCTGCAGGCTGCTCGTGCTGCCTGCAACTGCAGTTAACATCGGAATAGCACATGCAGTTTTATGGAAGTTATTCATGTTAACCAAATTCTCTATACCTGCATTCAACAAGTTATCTGTTGTTTGCACAGAGCACAACAGAGTCCGCATACAAGGGCACTCGCATGTGCCTAGCCTAGGTAGTATTACAACATATTCGTGTGACACGCCTCCACACGTCACCAACGGTAATTCATCGTTTCACCAAGTAGTCATCTGAACGTGATTTCGCATTGGCGAGTCCAATCAAAACGCGGTTTACCCTCCGCGCCTGTAGCAAACTGGCGATTTCGATTTGAAACAAATTTTTTTCGCGGACTCTAGTAGGATTGCTCTGTGGTTGTGTGTATTTATTCCAAGAACATGAACATTCATTTCTCTCCCATTAAAATTTACAAGACGAGTATTTACAAGATGTTAACCCAGAGTAAAGTCATTTGGGTACTTCTTGAGCCAACTTAATGCAAAGTACATTTTGAGTAAGTATTCTTTATTTCAGCAACACCTATTTTGCTCAAATGCAGTATTGTTACACTTGAACAAGTAAAGATTTGGTTACTTGTTCAAGCGTAACATTACTTCTTCTAACATAGTTTTCTCACAACTTCTTCACATAACTGTCGGGTGTAAAATTGCCTCGAGTCAGGTGATCTGCTGGCGTTTGTGACTATGTGATGATAACTATGGCATGGGTTAAGTGTCATTCGTCATCTTGATGCGGATCCTCGTCATCTGCATCTATCAAGTTATCGAGACTCGTGTCCGAGTCGTCCTCATGTCATCTGCAAGGATAAATACGTGTAAAATTTTAATTGATACTTTTCTGTAATCGTTGCCTAAATTTTTTTATAGCTAGGAAGGATAAATCGTAATGAATGGGTTTGAATTGGACAATCGCTAAATTATTGGTGGGGTTGCGGAACTATCCGTAAGACTTTCCGTGGCCTTGCCAGTGTCGTTGCCTCGCTGGGGAATAGGACTTTTCCTGTAAAGTGTTCGTTTGAAGTTAGTAGGTACTTATGTGTATAGTATGTAAATATGATGAGGAGCTTGAATTCATAAGTGGCTTTTAAGTGGCTAGTATAAACGATGTGTGGCACCGTGGCGCCGCGCGCCGGAGCAGCTTGCGTCGCTCCACGGCGTTCTTCGCCTGTTCCACTGCGAGGTGACCGCAAATATAATGTGTGTATGTAAATATGATGAACGCCACGTGGCAAAATAAACAGTGTCGATGTGTGCGAGCCGCGCTCCAGTCAGCGGCACCGTGGCAGTCGACAGTCGCAGCTTGCGTCGCTTTACGGCGTTCCTCGCCTGCTTCACTGCGAGGTGGCCGCGAATATGTGTGTATGTAAATATGATGAACGTCACCTGGCAAAATAAACAGTGTCGATGTGTGCGAGCCGCGCTCCAGTCAGCGGCACCGTGGCAGTCAACAGTCGCAGCTTGCGTCGCTTCACGGTGTTCCTCGCCTGCTTCACTGCGACGTGGCCGCGAGTATGTGTGTATGTAAATATGATGAACGTCACCTGGAAATATAAACGGTGTCGATGTGTGCGAGCCGCGCTCCAGTTAGCGGCACCGTGGCCGTTGCCGGTCGCAGCTTGCGTCGCTCCACAGTGTTCCTCGCCTGCTGCACTGCGAGGTCACCGCACCAACGTTCGCAGCGGGCGTATATTACTATACCTGGAAACAAAATCTGAAATTAGGTATGGAGAAAAAAGGAACTTTTCGAAGGGCAAAGACTTTTCCACGTGTAAACAAAACTAGAAGGAAAAAATTAGACTTTGCATCCTATGTTTAAATGGTGACTGTGTACATTTAAATAATCCCTTATATTGTTTAGTAGGCACTCAATAAAACCATACCTGCAACGGCAAACAGAGTGATTGCTGGCCAGGAATCAAGCAGCAGTGGTGTCAGAAATAGCAGAGCTGCTAGTAATGTTACGGGTCCTTGCGCAGATTGCGTCTTCCGTATAGCAAGAGTGTGAGCTGGTTGCCAACCACTTATAATAGTGCCGCAAAACCAAACTGAGAATCAAAATTTTATATAAAATGTAAGTGAAAACTGTATTTGCATGGAAGAGCGATGGTTTATATTATAATAAAATATGGGACCATATTTTAACTAGATTAAAGTCGTTCGGAGGATTCTAAATTCTCATAGAAGGTATGATAATGTTACTTACCAGGTATACCAGTAGCAAACATAGGCACTTTGATGGTATCTATGCAGAATGCCACAGCTATCAATATATTAGCTATCACTTGGATTAAAGCACCGGCTGCTGCCCAACGCGCCCCTCTCACGCTCGGCGGCGAGGGAGTGCTGGCTTCAGGAGTAGCTGTAACCACCTGGAATCAAATTTACAATCAATGAAATATTTCTAACTCACCAGTTTGTCTAGCCCCTGCTTTATGGTGAGTGATGGAGATACATTACTATGTTTATCTAAATTCTATGACTACAACGTCAGTCAATGTCTGTGGAAGAATCGTCACAGGAAGACAATGCAACCCCTAGCATGAGCACCGTGATATGAAGGAAAGAAAGAAAAATGTTTTTATTGCTGACAGCACATAACATATACATAAAATGCAAAATTCATACAACATAAAGTAAAACAAAACGTACAAGTAAAATTAACAACAACAAAAAAACACATCGTTATATATATATAACGATATAATATATATAACGCGTTTTTATCACGCTCACCCGTCAAATTACTATGGAGTTTAACATTTAGATGAGATAATAAACGTGATATAATGTTATTTGTGGTGCTCATGCTACGGGGAAAGGTTTACTTACCATATCTGACATACACTATTTGTACCAATCCATGCTGGGAATACCCCCTAGTACCCAAGAGTGTGATAATGTGTAAGATGTACTTATATCTTACCTATATATTATACCTATATCTTCTGAAAACATTTCAGATTCACTAGATTTTACATCTGAATCCACATCGTCCATATCCACAACGGGTATATCTCCAGTACGCTTTATGTGTGTCACAATTATAAATTAGGAGACATATTATTGGAGCCTGTAATCTATCTACAGCGACAATATCTGTGTAGTCGTGTCTCGAAGACATATTAGGTTCACTAGGTTTAATATCTGAAGCTACAACTTCCACATTCATGCTGAATACATCTCCAGCACCGATTATATGTATGATCACATTATCACACACATAAGAGGTTTGCTTACCTGTATCTTATCCCTGTGTTCTTTGACAGCGGCATCAATATATAAATAATATGTGTAGAGTTGTCTCCTGAAGACATTCAGGTTCGCTAGCTTCAACATCTCTGGTTATATCTTCCACATCCACGCTGGATACGTCTCCAGCACCGGTTATGTGTTTTAACACGTTCCCACAGACATATGTTAGGAGATGTGCCTACCTGTATCCTATCCCTGTATTTTTTTACTACGGCGTCAATATCTGTGGAGTCGTCTCTCGCAGGCATTTCAGGTTCGCTAGCTTCAACATATGAGGCTACACATTCCACAGCCACGCGAGTGTAGCTCCGGTAACCTTTATGCCTGTGATAATGTGAGTTTGGTCATCACATTATCACTCACATAAGTTATAGGACGTATATGCCTACCTGTATTCTATCCCTGTATTCTTTGACTACGGCGTCAATATCTTCCACAGCCACGCGAGTGTAGCTCTGGTAACCTTTATGCCTGTGATAATGTGAGTTTGGTCATCACATTATCACTCACATAAGTTATAGGACGTATATGCCTACCTGTATTCTATCCCTGTATTCTTTGACTACGGCGTCAATATCTGTGGAGTCGTCGCCCGAAGACATTTCGGGTTCGCTAGCTTCAACGTCTGAGGCTACATCTTCCACCTCTACGGTGGGTACTTGTCCGGAGCCACTACTGCAGCTCATTCCGTGGCTTATGTCTTCAGTGGGACACCCCGCATATTCGTCAAGTAGCAAGCACTCGCGTTCTTCTGTTTCTGTAGATTTTATATGGCAAAAAATATAAAGAAATTAAATTGTATTATTAAGAAAAAACAATTGTTATATATACTATCAAAATAAGAGTCGTCAACTAATTTAAACACAATGTTTCATTAGTTTACTTGTTGTCTAATTATATCGTTATCGCAACAGAAGTAACAACACAAACATTATTCAATTTTCTAAGATCTTAATCTTTATATATCTGATCTATCTTGGGCTGTGATGTAATGGATTTATATGGTTTGCTTCGAATATTTAAAAAATTACATGTAATAATACATTTATATATTAAAAAAATACAATTGTAATAAAACTATGATGATAATAATAAATCAATAAAAATGATTTACGAAATATATTTACTAGGAAAACTTACAACTCCGCCGGAATCAAACTATTCGCTTGCCGGCCGAATGCACTGCACTACTATCCCCCTATGCTACTAAATGGAAATGAATGACAAATTTCTTTATAGTTCACAATTACTGTTTCTGAGATAGCAGTACAGCTACTGAGACCGAAGGAGTCGAATTTCCTCATTGTATAACTAAGGCTGCACTTTAATTTAATTCTAGCAGTGAAATACTTAAAGTAAATAATAATTATAATTGATTCATCTTATTTCTTACCCTTGTTAGTAATTTTCGATTTTATGCTCTCAAGAGTTTTTGTATGTCGTATAGCCGATGGTATGAACCATAAACCATGCTTGGTTTTTGTGCCTGTCGACTTTGTCGTACGTGATGTGCCATCCGTTCCGAGTCTTTTATATTCTATGTCTGTGAAAAATAACGGATTTCAATTGCGAAGTGGTTAACGAGTTAATTGGACTGTATAAATTCCACATAATTTCGGAGCTTTAACGGCCGACTGAGACGCCAATTTAAAGATGCTGGTTAAGCGACATGCTGTCTTATTCTTTTAATATCACAAAGAAAATGACAGCATAACAATAATTATAATTTAATTTACCATCTAAGTATGACAGTATGTATGTCACATAATTTACCGCGCGATTGCTAGTTGGTGGAACAAAAACTAAGGAATCAGGCTGGGTTTCGTCTCACCACAAAGTACGCAACCATTTGCTCAGTATATAACCCTTAATATGTGTTTTTATTCACAAAGAAAGATCTCTGGAGTGGATCCTGTGGCGCAAGGTTGTTTACGATAGAATTGATATAGGTATCTATTCGGTAGCGGTCTCGTTCTGATAGAATCAGAACTCGATCTCGAGAACGTAGATCTCGTTATTTGTTAGATATATAACAGGTACTGTCCGAAGGTACAAGGTAGGTACTTACTGCCTGCTTCTTTCTGTTCCGTCGTGGGAACACATCGCATGACCATGAAGTGGAACGCCTGCACGGCAATGCTGAGAAGGTGGCTCGCGTTCATCAGCGTAATCATGTGAGACAAGGGGCATGCAAACGCGAGGATTGCCGCTAAACTGCCTATAAACAAATAATTCAGTCATTTCTATCTCACCCATTTTCACCCATAGGGAAGGCCTGTGTTTGACCCCAGCAGTGGGGACATTGATATGCTAGTGATGATGATAAAGTACATGGATAAGACTACTGAGATCATTATACATAAATCCCATATCTAATTATTGGAGGAGATATTTTTTCTTTCTCTGATTTAAGGATAAGAGTCATCAGTATTTTTCGGGAATTCGGAATTTCATTTTTTGTTTCTAACTTAATGTTTATTTCCAATAATAGCAATATGACTCACCAGCTGTGAACACGGCTAAGACTGGACTGCCGGTGGTAGTGCTCTCGTACGTCATGGATCTGGTGAGGACCTTCCATTCGGGCGACGCCAGCGCTACCAGCACAGCGAACAGTAGCGGGCACAGCTCAGTGAGAGCCAGGCATACACCAGCCACAGTCACGGCCGCTAGCAGTGGACACACCCAGCCGGCAGACCTGGCTTCAAGGAGCGTCGTCACTGGGAGCGCCGCGTTTATACTGTTACTATGACATAAAACATACTCACTGTTGTAACCTTTACAAGATAGAAAGATCTTGATGGCGGGTGACGAAAAACTTATTATCTAGAGCTTTTTCGTGCTTCGGAAGACACATTTAGCCGTTGGTACCGGCTGCATTTGCAGTCGTTAGAATCCACCAATCCGCACTGGGTCCGCGTCATAGACCAAGTAAAGACTTTCCATCCTGGCGATGACAGCACCACCAAAACAGTGAACAGCAGCGGGCACAGGTCAGTGAGAGCCAGGCATACACCAGCCACTGTTACGGCCGCTAGCAGTGGACACACCCAGCCGGCGGACCTGATTTCGAAGAGTGTTGTGGTAGAGCCGCGTTTATGCTGTTACTGTGATATATAAAGTAGTTATTGCTGTAACCTATACAAGAAAGCAGGGGTTCAATTGCTGAAGTGGCAAATCATTGCTCCGAAAGGCACGTTAAACCGTTTGCCCCGGCTGCATCACTACAGTCGTTAGCATCTACAAATACTCATTGGGCCCGCGTAGTGGATCATGGCTGCAGACCTGGATTAAAGTAGATAACGCATGTGCGTCAAATCGTATGAAAACCAAGCGTGTCCATTATGATATTCCTTAAATTATATATATTCTTACCATTAAACTTTATATTTCTTACCCTTTCAACATGTTGGTGTACAAGAAACATAGTCCCGAGAGGACGACAACCGGCATGCTGATTCTGAGCAACATATTCTTTTTAAGAGATCCACTTTCCTTGGGTATAACTACACTGAAAGCGTAACTGATCGGTGATCCAGCTGCAAAAAGCTGAAAAAATTATTATTAGCTTTTTAACTTTGTAAAATACGCTTTTTTTATTTAAATTTAAAGTTTAAGTTTTAAGTACCTACGCTGGTACTCCTTCCTTAAAATCCGGGATAGTATTTGTAATACGATGCCGGCTTTTAAGGAAGGTATATTGCAGATGTCTATTGGGCGACGGTGATCACTAACCATCAGGTGAACCGTCTGCCCCTTATAATACAATTAAACTTAGTAGGTACGCACATTATTGAAACAAAACAATTGTGCTAGAGCTTATATTGTTTCTTGTACAAGTAACAAGTTTCTAACAACAAAAAGTTTGAAACTAATATCGTCAAGATCCTGAAGAACTGTTGTAAGATGGGTCGCAGTAATCTTAAAATTTATATTTGTTCTCATATTGCGTAGATTATTGAAATATACTTCATATCAAATAAAACCACTGCGGTGGATCCCAGAGCTCGCTGGATTCTTTTGAACTCAACAAAAAATATTATAAGCAATAATGACATAAAAATTACCTCATAAATAGTGATTGGGATAGGCATATTTATATTAGTAATATCCAAATTCATCAGTCCGACGATTGCAAAGAATTGACTGAATATATACAACAGTATCAGCAGCATGAATGTGAACATTATACTATCCTGAAAAATAAATGCAATCATTAATTTTTGTTTACCTACCAGTCTGAGGAAGTCGAGTTAAAAACTACATTAGAATAATTAAATGATTCACGTAGGTACCTGTTCTAGGTATGGATGCAACTATAACTTTTTTTGAGCTTTTATTAGATCCTAATTAAGAGGTAGAGTTGGTGGATTTTTCATGTTAGATTGGGACTTTGGGAGCGAAACCAAACTGCGCATCAGTCTGTGCAATTAGAAAAAGTGTATACTATGGACCTGGAACTTGGAAATTCAATGGATAAATGTATTTACGGAGACTTTTTATATTGTTGCTGATCTGCAAAATATGTGTATATTGACGACCTCCGTGGCCGAGTGGTTTGTACGCCGGTTTTCATGGTGTCGCGGTCGCCGACTCGAGAGGTCCCGGGTTCGAATCTCGGTGGGGGCAGATGTTTGTGTGATGAATACGAGCATTTGTACTCCAGTTATGGATGTTTAAATATATATTTCTATATAAATATAATTATATATGTACAATATATGTGTTATGGGCCAAGTGATTAATGCGGGCAGTATGAATAATGCCCAGCCATTTCGGGCCAAGTTATAATTAATTACAATCTAAACTCACCTATTTATCACATTGCCCGGTCATTATTAATAATGCCGGACGGCTAGCTAGCTTGACCGGGCAGTATGAATAAATTCAAAAAGTTGGTACTATTGTCAAAATGACAGATGTCTCGCCATTTTGAGTTTGTTTTGAGATCTTGGTAAATAAAAAATAGTATGGGCTTAACACTTAGAAAAAAAGGTGAATGTGGCTTTACAAGTCTTTAATTCAGAACCGACTTGGTCAACCCTGACACGCCGTGGTCTTGGTCTGCCCTACCCCTAGAGTGTTTTTTAGAGCCCGGAGGCGCGGAGGGAAAGCAGTCCCCACCTGCTGTGACAAAGCCGCAAGAATCGTATGACCCGTAGCGCCTGAGGCCGGCCACCTCCGGCGGCGACCAACAAGCCGAAGGTGTGAAGGGAAGTGATGCTTGTGACTTTGTCACGCAAAGGTGGAGGGGCTGCTATTCCCGCAGCGCCGGAGATAAGGCAGAAGTACTAGTTCTTACTTCCCTAGTCCTTGCATCCTAAAAAATAGGGAACCATAAATTCTGAACATTTAACAGATTTAATGAAATTTTCAAACAAAATGGATTGAAACTACTATAGACTATAGTTTCTAAATGTAACCCTTCGTAAATTAATGGCAGTAAAATCGAAGTCTGATTATTTAAATTTGAAAAATAAATACTAAACTATAAAACATGTTTTTATTATTACTCTACCCGATAATTGATTTCATTACTTGTAATGCTCGGTCTATCTAACTAAGTATTCATTTGAAAGTATTAAACATGCTTTACATCACTCTGCCCAATATGCACTTGGCATTATTCATAATTCCCGGGCAATTTGATAATTTGATTGGTTATAATCACAGTGCTCGATCTTATTGGGCATTATTTATAATGCCCGATTAATCACTTAGCCCATAACACATGTATTCTATCCGTTATCCTAGCATCCCATAACATAAGTCTTACAGTGCTTACTTTGGGGCTAGGCTAATTGGTGTGAGTGTGGGAAATATTTATTATTATGTATTTATTTTTTCCGGGAAAATGAGTTTAATTAAACTCAGCCCATAATGCCGCCACATAAACCTTTCCAATGTTACAAAGCGTGTTAAGGAAGTAATGCAATGTATGTGTCACCCATATATTTAACTAGATAATTTGTAAACTGTGTATAGATTGTGTATGGTAATAAACACAGAACACAGAAAGAGGTTAGAAGGATCGAGCGGCTCGCAGGTGACAACTGCCGCCGAAAGCTGGCGCCGGCTGCATTTGCCGTTGCTGTCAGCTGCCGTTCGTGTATATGCAGCCAAACTGTGATAACATTTTCTGTTTTATGTGCCGCATCTTTCATAAGCAGCGACCTAGGAACAGATGTGAGCTCAAATAATAACAAAACTATATTTAGCTTTGTATTTCATTAATTCTCCGTCCGTGCGGGTGCCGGGTCCATAGCATGCGGGTGCCCGGAAAGCGTACAGGATTAGCAATATAGTTCTATATTTAAGAGGTTTTAATTTACGTATGTTTCAGCGGTTCTGGTTTGTGCCATCAGTCTGCGATAGTGGAACTAAAGCAAGTTTCGCAATGGCTGATCATTATATGGGTACTCAAAATTTCTGTCTCGAGATCCTCCGTGCTTCGAAAGTCACGTTAAGCTGTTGCTCCCGGCTGCATCTTCTGTCGTATGCATCTACGCACTTGGCCTGTGTGATAAGTCAAAGGCCGTTCTGTAAGGAAGGCCTGGGTAAGTATAGAAGATATTAATAGGCTGATGATGATAACTTACTTCTAAGCCGCACATAAACATAGCGCAGACGACCATTACAACGGTAACACCCAAGACGTCCGGCCAGGGCTCCCCCAGGGCTCTAGTCTCGTATCCAAAGAGCCACCTTCTAGTTCTGCCACTCGTGACGTGGTCAGCTGTAGCGCTGAGTATGCGGGCACACACGGCCACCGCCACCAAGTGGGACAGGAATGTCATCCACATTGCCATGAAGTCAGCGAACGACTGCAGATTTCTCTCCCGACGCCCCCTCGATGTTTTCGACGGTGGAAGGATCTCCGATAGCTTTTTTAGATCTTTGCATGTGAATGCTATAATAATTATACACCTTTGTTAAAACTGGAAAGGATGACTTATATACGTAGATAGATCTAGGTTAATCAGCTTATTGGTACTTTGATATCAGAATATAGTTAGAGATTTGGAAGTAAAGAACTGAATTGAGAAATGAGCTTTTTCAATAAGGTAGCATATTATGGTGGGTACTTCAAAGACAGACGGGATATATTTTATTTATCGCAGTTATTGCATTAAAAACCTAATTAGCAACTTTAGCAGCGGCTAGGTGTACACTGAGCAAATGACTGCTGGTACGGCACAATAGTTAGTGTTGGCAGCGGCGAGTGGTGCCAATAACAGCTCACTGACCGTCCAGCGCCCACCACACCCTTCGCCGCTGGACAGCGCGTTTTAGTGGTTTTCAATTTATACTAATAAAGACAAAACTTACTAGCGGCGGTCATAAAGACCCCCAGCACGATGACTGCCGGTACGGCGCAATAGCTAGTGTTGGCAGCGGCGAGTGGTGCCAATAACAACACGCTGACTATACAGCGTGCCGACCAGCTCTCGCTGCTGGATAACGCCTTTTAGTCGTTTTCAATTTGTAGAAAACCTACTAGCGGCGGTCATAAAGACCTCCAGCAAGCTGACTGCCAGTACGCCGCAATAGCTAGTGTTGGCAGTGGCGACTGGCGCCTACAACCTACAGCCGCCCAGCACGCACCACACCCGTCGCCGCTGGACAGAGAGTTTTAGTGGTCTTCAATGTGTACTAATAAAGAGAAAACGTACCAGCAGCGGTCATAAAGATACCCAGCAAGATGACTGCCAGTACGGCGCAATAGCTAGAGTTGGCAGCAGGGATGGCGCTAACAACAGCACACAGACCGGCCGCGCGCATCACACCCCTTGCTGCTGGACAACGCCTTTTAGTGGTTCTCATTTGTAGAAAACTTACTAGCTGCGGTTATAAAGACTCCTAGCAAGATAACTGCCAGTACGGCACAATAGCTAGAGTTGGCAGCGGCGAGCGGCGCCAGCAGCAGTACGCCGATCATCCAGCGCGCGCCGCATGCCTCGCCGCTGGACAGCGCGTTAATAGTGGTGCTCATGTTGTACCTTGTGGCACCCTCTAATAAATTACCTGATATTTCTGAAAGACACATTGATTGAAATAGAACTGCTCCCTTTTTTGTTTCCTATATTTTTATTCGATGCATTTATCTGCTTGATTTATTTCGATCAAAATTTGTGGGACTACGAGTAAAAAATTATAATATTTATTTTCTAGGTACATCATGCAATAATACATAATACAATGAGAATATATTCATATACCTAATCCGTGGTATTGACTTCAGTAGTTTTTATAAAATAACAAAAAAAAATTAAAGTTGTTTTTCTTGTAAATGAAATGAAACTAATGGTTAAATTTCAATTTAGTCATATTAAGTAACGTGACAAAACTACAATTATTATAAAGACTTTTCCCTGTGCAATTGTTATTTGAGACTTACTTATCAAGAATAATACTAGATTTAGAAGCAAAACACCCGAACAAATTACTGTTATTATGTTTTGACTACACGTTCAAAATCTTCAGATGTGAAAATATCATCATATAATGTATAATGTACATGTCATACTTACAATACGTGTTATTGTTTATTTATATTCTTCTTTTAGGGAAGATTCTTTTATTAACAGCATATTTATATATCAGTACCTTCTTACTTACTAAATTGCGAAACTATAAAAACGAAACAGGTTTTAAACTATTTTATTATTTAATTACGACCAATGAACTTACCATGGTTACACAATATTTTAAGGCCACTGTTTTATTTTTTCCTTTAAAGACACACTTAACAGGTATTAAACACATTTTAATTAATGTATACCATCTGTAAGCTTATATTCACTCTGAGACTGTATTTATCATTAGATACATTTGTAAACTGATAAAATTTTGCGATGACCGGTATGTAAGGTCGAATTTTCGTGTTTATGCGACAAACCTAAGCAGTGTAGCAATATGCTGGCGTCCCTTTTGTTCTGTTACTGATCGATACTAGTAGCCTAGGGTAGCCATTATGATAGAAACATGGAAAGACATTATTAAAAAGCAATCAGAAAGTAATCTGATCTTAAAGTTGTTAAGTTTGAAATGGCGTTAAATTACATTAGGTTAGATTTTGACAGATTTAGAGATTTTCATCAATCTTTTGCAAAACTTTAACATAAACAATTCATGGTCAGAAAATATTTTCAAATTATTATAACGTTACATAACCTTGACACCTGTCTTAGCTCCGTAGCACTTTATGCTACGATGTTCGTAGTAAAGTATGTTATTTTTAACTAAATTAGCCTATGTGCTTCGTTCCACCTAACGACATGTTTGACAGGAAAGAAGATACAACAGTTAATATGGGAATATTAAATTATTGTTTTTTCTAATTTCTTTGCTATTTTCCATATATTCTTAACGTTAAAACCTTCCTTGCACTACGACGAACTTTTCAAAACCAAAATCAGCTAAATCGGCCAAGCCGTTCTCGAGTTACTTGTATAGCAAGACAAACGAACCACAATTGATTTTTAGATTATAGAAGATTTTAGGTAGTAAGATTTATAATAGATAAAAATAGAAGCATTTGGATCACTTATTAATGTTGTTACTGCCATAGATTTTAAAGAGAATAATATCAATTCTTAACCATAAGATAAATAATGCTTTGGGATTTCCGACATCGTAGTTACCATACATACTTTACCTTAGTAGACATCAAATTGTAAGGCTTCATATTAAACGGTATTCTTTGACCTTTGTTACTTTGAGTGTGTAAACCGACTAATAAATACTTTTTGTACCTACGTAGAAATAATTTTGTCTGTATACATTACAAGTGGTTACTTTGTACTGGACGTACCATTTTATTATTTGTGTATTTTGAAAATAACTTCTAGAATGAAGTCATTTGTAGATTATGATTTTTTTTTTCATTTTACAATCAAACAGATATTGCTTATCAACTATAATTAATAATTATAATATTAATATATTGACGACCTCCATAGCCGAGTGATTTGTACGCCGGTTTTCATGGTGTCGCCGACTCGAGAGGTCCCGGGTTCGAATCCCGGTGGGGCCAGATGTTTGTGTGATGAATACGAGCATTTGTACTCCAGTCACGGATGTTTAATATGTATTTCTATATAAATATACTTATATATGAACTGTATATGTTTATATTCTGTTCGTTATCCTAGTATCCCATAACACAAGCCTTACAGTGCTTACTTTGGGGCTAGGCTAATTGGCGTGAGTGTTGGAAATATTTATTTATTTATTTATTTACAGAAATATACTTACTCGTTAAAATAAACAGGACTGAAGTCAACGCTCTGTCGTTCCTGCCCCATTGCTCCTACATATTTAAAAGCGATAGAAAGAAGTTTTCTCCAAAGTAAACCTTTGTTTAGACTTTTAAAACAAAAGTTTATTTTATAGTATTCTTTTAAATTCTTTTTCGTTGTTTGAATAATCAGCCAATTTGTTTCCTGACCCACCATAAGCTTATTTTGTTTTAAGAATTTCAACACAATAAGGTAGACTTTTGCTTAAATGTACGTATCCCTGGAAACAAACTTGTTATTTTCTGTACACTCATATTTGACGTGACTGATTTTCCCGCCTTCATGTGACATAATTATGACATTAAATTATTTGGAGTTTTGCCCATGGACTAAGGATTTCCCTATTAGTTTACCGACCCTTTTTATAATGTCCGGAAATCGAAAGATTACTTCTATTATACAGGGCGTCCCACGGCTACCTCACACGGAGGGAAAGTATATTAAATATTGAAGATAGGACATTTTACTGAAAGAAGACATCATTTTATTTTTAATAATAACTAGAACTGCATTCACAGATTTTTTTAAAATCGCCTGCTACATCTGGGAATCGAACTCGTGAAATTTCGAAAAAATAACACGATATATTTTATGATAACCATCGAAAGGGTTAATCATAAGGATTATGTTTTGCTTAATAACATAGCATTTTAAATGAAAGGAACGTCTTATTACGTGATAAAAATAATAAAGTGATGTACAAATTGTAGTACGTATGCATTTCTTTTTTAATCCAGTTACAATGCGATTGGCTGAAATTTGTAATAATAAATCGAAAATGGACCATATAAATTTTCAAGCCTGTGTTCTTTTGTTTTTCGTGAGTTTCATTTTCGTTTATTTGCAATTTTTTGTTAATTAACTTACCATGGCGCATCAAAATAAAATAGATTTAATGTAATCTTACTTTATGAACCACAAAGACATATCATTAGCTTAGCGGTGGTACCGCAAAAGATATCCTGATAGAGACAAACCTTCTCGATATGTGTTTAAATAATGAAAGAAAGATAGAGAAAGAGAAAGATTTTAATAAGCAATGTTAAGTAAATTAACAAAAAATTGCAAATAAATGAAAATGAAACTCACAAAAAGAAAAGAACACACTTGAAAATTTATGTGTTCCATTTTCGAATTATTATTATTACAAATTTTTGCCAGTCGCATTGTAACTGTGAGTTCAAAAATAAATGCATACGTACTACAGTTTGTAAATCACTTTATTATTTTTATCACGTAATTCACATTCCTTTCATTTAAAATGCTATGTTATTTAGCAAAAAATAATACTTATGATTAACCCTTTCGATGGTTATCATAAAATTCTTCTTCTTCCTCGTAACCTCATGACTGAGGGTCGCGACAGCATGAGGGCACCCGGTGTACCAGCTTCCTCCACGTATTGCGGTTTTCGGCCAACCGGATAGATGTCTGAATGTCAGTTTGGCAGACTTCCTTGGCCGCATCAGTCCATCGGGCGGGTGATCTTCCGCGGCTCCTTTTTCCTTCCACATGACCTACGACGATGAGCTTTTCAAGATTATCTGGTTCTCGTCGGGCCACGTGTCCGAAGTACTGAAGAAGTCGCTGCATACATGTAGTAGACAGGCGGGATGTTATGCCTAGTTCGGAGAGAATAGAAATGTTGGTGCGGTGCTCTGTCCAAGAAACCCCTAGCATTTTCCGCCAGCACCACAATTCAAACGCGTCGATCTTGGTTCGAATGCGTGCCTTCAGCGTCCAGGTCTCCGAAGCGTACAGAAATATAGAAAAGATAAGGTTCCGCATGAGTTTGACTTTCGTCGTCTTGCTTATTCCTCTGTTCCTCCAAACCTTTTTTAACCGCTTTACAGCCGATTTTGCAATCTGAGCTCGCCTTACAACCTCCTTTTCGCAGTCGCCGTCACTGGTAATCATAGAACCAAGGTAAATAAATTCCTTTACGGTTTCCAGATCCTGCAGCTCCCAGGTTCTTTGTAGTGTGCCCGCTTTATCTACAAACATCAGCTTAGTTTTGGCACGATTTATTTTGAGACCGTAATCAGCACTTATTGTCTCTACTCTTTGCAAAAGCTCAGCAAGTTCACTTTCGTTGGCTCCAATTATGGTAGTATCATCTGCAAAGCGTAGGTTATTAATAAGGTGTCCGCCAATTTTTATACCAGCATCCCACCCCTCCAGCACTCTTCGCATAATGTGTTCGCCGATGAGATTAAAAAGTTGTGGCGAAAGGATGCAACCTTGTCTTACTCCGCGGTTAGTCCGGAAACAAGTCGATTCAGAATCCTCTACACGTACTTTGGACCTTCCGTCAAGGTACAGTTTCTGAATTAGATAGGTCAAATGTGCCGAAACACCCATCTCGCCCATTACGCTAAACATTTTGTTCCAGCTGATACAGTCAAAGGCTTTCGCGTAATCAATGAAATACAGAGCCACTGGAACATTGAACTCCCGGCACTTCTCTATCATGCGTCTCATGTTTAAAATTTGCTCCCGTGCTCCCCTGCCTTTAACAAACCCTGTGTTACGAACCTGAATACAACCTCAACCACAACCTCCTTTTTTGACTTTATGGTAGATTTTTTGATACATACGTTGTCATAGTGATATTTGATTTATTATAATTTTAAAACCTATGTTAAACAAAATACAAGAAAATACTGAAAATTATACGTCTTTTATTCAGTATATTCAACAAAGTGGTGTCAGAAGTGAATTAATTCTAAAAAGTGTACACGTACATTAATTTAGTTTCATTTCATTTTATTATTTTTATTAGTAATGGTAAAGACTAGGGCGCAGGCAAAAAATATGGGTAGTAGTACAAGCGCAGCTTCCTCCAAGTCAAATTCATCGGTCGTTGCTCAGCGTGCTGCGTTCGAAGCGCAACATGCTCGGTGTATGGCAGAAATGGAATTGAATCAGATTCAAGCTGAGCGTGAGGAACGCGAGCGCACCATGGCTGTTGAGCGTGAGGAACGCGAGCGCGCTGCGGCTGTTGAGCGTGAGGAACGCGAGCGCGCTGCGGCTGTTGAGCGCGAGAATCGCGAGCGCGCGGCGGCTGCGGAGTGTGCAGCTGCAGACGCGGAATTACGAGCCCAGATTGCTGCTCTAGAAGTGCGCAGCCATACCAGTCGCGCCGCCAGTCGAACTTCAGCGCAACATGTTGAAAATTGGGTGAAGTTTCATTCCAATATTAATAATAAAGGCCGTACTCAATTACAGGTCGCACCTAACGATCGTGCCTCGGCCAAAGGAGGACAGTTTCCATACCTTGCCGAGGTCACATGCTCTCCGCCGGCGACGCTGCCAGATCAGCGGAACGCCCCAAAGGCTGGGAGCGCGTATGCGGACGTCACGACCACTGCACATGCACGCGTAGGCACACACTCAAGTAGTCAGAATGATAATAATTATATTAGTAACAATAATAAAACTAATGAAAATATTACACAATTCACGGAAGCCATCAAGAGCCTTGCGCCGACTGGACGGAGGGTAAGTGATCTTCCTATTTTTTCTGGCTCGCCCACAGACTGGCTTTGCTTCCGCAAAAGTTATGAACGGACTATGGCTCATTTTGAGGATGCGGACAACCTAGTCCGATTGTCCACGGCTCTACGGGGAGCAGCACGTGAAGCTATAGCATCACTCTTGATCGTGTGTGACGACCCGCAAGAGGTAATGGCAGCTTTGGAACAGCAATTTGGTGATCCGGAAATTGTTGTTTTAAATGCCTTGTCTAAGGTGAAAGCTTTGCCAATAATTGGTAATTTCGATTCCGGTAGAGACCTAAACTATGTTTCTTGTAAAGTCCGTAATTGTGTTACAACCATTAAATTATTAAATCATTTCGAATATTTAGCTAGTCCAGAACTCGTGAATACCATTCTTGGTAAGCTTTCTCCCCTCCTTCGGGAAAAATGGGTAGAGTTTGCATTTTCTCGTCAACGTTCTCGTAATTTTAAGTTAGAACTTCTATCAGACTTCCTAGTGCACGAGGCTAACATACATATTAAGTTCGGTATTTTAAATGAATTTGTGCCTCGAGATAAGGGGCGTCAGGAAAAGTTTCTATTAGAGTTTAAAAAGGGCACAGGTTCCGGAGAAATTTCTTTTATAGACGGCCCGAAGTCTCCATATTCATGCGCCTTTTGTGGGTCGCGAAGTCATGAGGTTTCGGCGTGTGCGCGTTTCCTTTCGTTGTCCGTTGACAGTCGCGAAAAATGGGTCACGGACAACAAAGTTTGCAGAAAATGCTTAGTTAAGGGTGGCCATAGATATGCAATTTGTAAGACGACTTGCACTGTGGCATCCTGTAAGAACCGTCGTCACCACACATTACTCCATAAGAATGACGTGACCAACTATAACGTCAATGTTAGTGATGACAATAATATGCAAGGTTCAGATAACCCTGTAGCTTCTACGTCGGTTCAGTCTCCGCAGAAGGAAAATGTAGATATTGCGGATCAGGCTATTGTTGGGACTACTTCAACACCAGTGTCATCTCTCCGGCCCTTACTAAAGGTGCTACCCGTAACAGTCTGTGGGCCTACCGGGAGCGTCGATACTTACGCTTTGTTGGATGATGGTTCTACTGGAACTTTCATCGATGCGGACGTTGCTGCCCGAATAGGTGCAAAGGGCCCGGAGGGATATTTACGTTTAAATTGCGTTGGCGGTTTGTCCCGTAATAGTAGTGTTAGTTATGTAGATGTTAAGAGAGGTAAGTATTCATCTGACACCTTTGTAATATCTAAGACGCGTTCTATTAGGAACTTAGGTTTAGTATCTCAAATCGCTACCCGTGATAGTTTACGTGAATATTTATATTTAAGTGATTTGTCCGAAGAGCTATGTTACGATGTTGCTACGCCTATGTTAATAATAGGTATCGACAATTGGCACCTTACTGTGCCCCATGAGACCAGGAAGGGATCAAAGTCGCAACCTGGGGCTATCAGGACGGTTTTAGGTTGGATTCTGTTTAGTTTCTCAAGTAGCAAAACTAAACCTATAGATTATGCAACTGCTTGTCATGTAAGTTCTTTCGAGTTTTCTGATCCTAAACATGAGCTAGAGAGCCTCATTAAGGAGCAGTACAAATTAGACGCCTTAGGAATTACAATACATGAACTACGTAGTTATGATGACCAACGCGCTCTCCAAATTTTAGAGCGCACAGCTCGTAGGTTGCCTTCTGGGCGTTTCGAGGTTCGACTGTTGTGGAAGGAGGAGGAGGATGCGTGCCTGACAGCTATCCTTTAGCATTATCCAGGTTTCATAACCTCGAAAGGAAAATGCTCAAGGAACCACTTTATGCTGAACGTTATCGGAAAAATATTCAGGATACTTTAAGCAAGGGTTATGCCGAAGACTGCACAGGACAGACACCAGGGCCGATTTGTTGGTACTTGCCACACTTTGGTGTTATAAATCCCAACAAACCGGCCAAACTCCGTGTAGTACACGACGCCGCGGCTAAGTCCCATGGCGTGTCACTGAACTCCCTTTTGTTGACCGGCCCTGACTTACTTCGCTCTCTCCTCGGAATTTTGATGCGGTTCTGAGAGGGGAAAATAGCATTGACTGCGGATATTCAGGAAATGTTTCCTCAGGTCAAAATTCAGGAGCGTGACCGTGACGCGCAACGCTTTCTTTGGCGCGACAGTACGGCAGAGCCCGTTAAGATATATCGTATGTCATCGATAATGTTTGGCGCGTGCTCTAGCCCTTCTACTGCAATATTTATTACTAATCGGAACGCATCAGAATTTCGAAAAGAGTTTCCAGAGGCTGTGAGCGCAATAGAAAGCGACACGTATATGGACGACTACATCGGAAGTATTGACGATACTGCACACACGGCTCGTTTGGCGGCTGATATTACGACGGTTCACAGCCGTGGTGGGTTTAAAATGCGCGATTGGGTATCTAATGACCCACAGTCCTTATGTTTACTGCCAAACGAGTTAGTGTCTTCTCTTGTTACTAATGTAGATCGTAGTGTAGATTTAGGGTCATCAGCTTTTATACGTACATTAGGTTTAATTTGGTTCCCCAGTCGGGATGTAATAAGTTTTAGTTCTAAGTTGTATAATCAGTCGCCTGATCATTTCACGAAGCGTACTGTTTTAGCGCAGGTCATGCGTATTTTCGATCCACTTGGTCTTCTTGCGCCCATTGTAGTTAGAGGACGCATTTTATTTCAAAGTTTGTGGCGTAAGAGTTTGCACTGGGACGAAGAGTTATCCCAGGCGGACCAACGTGTGTGGAGAGGGTGGTTCGATAGTTTAGCGTCATTATCGAAAGTGGAGATTTCGCGATGCTATAATCTTTGTGAAAATAAGGTTGTTGAGTTAGAGCTGCACGTGTTTTGCGATGCAAGCGAATTAGCACATGTTGCAGTTGCCTACTGGCGTTTTACCTTTGAGACTGGTGAGGTACGGCTCGCCTTAATTATGAGCAAAGCATGTGTATCTCCACTCAAACCCGTCTCCATTCCGCGGTTGGAACTACAAGCTGCCTTATTAGCCGTTCGTCTCGGTGCGACCATTTGTAGTAGCCATCGTTATAAACCAGCTCGTCGTTTTTTCTGGTCTGACTCGATGAACGTTTTGGGGTGGCTGCGTAATGATGCCAGGAAGTTTAAGCCCTTTGTCGCCCATCGCGTCGGTGAAATCTTGGAAACAAGCGCCATACGTGAATGGCGTTCTGTGACTTTAACGTCGCTGATGATGCCACAAGGGGGAAGTGTAGCTCCCTATCTGTCGAGTCACGCTGGATTGTTGGTCCAGCCTTTTTAGTATCTCCTCCTAGCGATTGGCCGATTGAATCGTTAATAATTCCTACATCTATAGGAGGAGATGAACTAAAACCTAGCTTTAAAGCTAATCGTGTTAACGCATTAAAACCTCATTTAAGTCCATCGCATCCGCTGTCTGAAGCCATTCTTTATAATGATATCGTTCATCTGTTGTAAGGCACGCTTGTGTTTTGAACCATAGGATCTAGAATATTTAGAAACGCCTAAGGCGTCGACATGGTAAAGTTTTGTATGAGCGACTGCCCTGGTAATGTATAAAGACTGTAGTTAGTAATATTTAATGGTAAATGGCTGAATATTTATAATTTCTATGAAACAAGGCTCAAGAACTTTTGATTAAGTCACAATCTTGAAAATTATGAAAACTCCTACTATGTCATTACCTTACTTACAGTTGATAAAAGATGTTGCCAATTATTTACAGAGTCATCAATTTCCCATTTTCTTAGAATCTTTCTTCCCATTTCTCTAATTAATTCTTTACAAAAAGTTTTTTAAAGCAAAAATAAATACATATATTTTTCTATCGTTGGCCTGACAGGAAAACTGTGAAGTTTTATTTTGTACATTTGCAAAAATTAAAGGATTAATTATCATACAGCCTTGTCTCAAGCCTGATCAGAATAATAAATGCTATTATTTAAACCCTTCAGTGAATTGTTATAATAAAAATTAGGGTCAATTATGTAATAGTTTAAAGGAGTTTAGAAATAATATTGTTTATTTCGATATACTTACACAAATATTTTTTGTGTACATTTATTGTTCATTTATTCTGTAAAACGGAACATTTTGCTTTTGAAACAGACATGAAGTCAATTTATACTTTTTAATACTTGATTATTTCGCGAAAGTTCTATGTGAATAATAAACACGTAATAATTAATAAGAAAATATTGTAAAGTTACGGGCTAGTGCAAAATATTTATACACGTTAAGGGCAGTTTCTTAGCCATGTCCTTTCTTTCCTCGTGAGATTGTCGCTGCCGTCACTGCTTCTGCCACAGAGATCAGGTCATTGAATGTGGAAGCCATTCGCCGCGCAGAAAGGCACGTTTTGTGTCAGTGTCAAATAAACGCCTTCCAGAAGGAGCTTGTGAGTCTGAGCCGCGGTCAGCAGTTACCCACCAAGAGCCGTCTGGCTACCTAGTCTCCCGCGCTAAATGAAGATGGGCTGATATTTCTACGGGGCCGAATTTCAGCTGCGCCTGGAGTGTCTAGGGAAGCAACACGGCCGATAATTTTGTGTGGAAAGGAACCAGCTGTGCGCCTATTGATACGTCACTTTCATAGTAAGTTTGCTCATGCCAACACAGAAACTATACTAAATGAGTTGCGCCAACAATACTGGATCCTTGGTGTGAGAAATGCTATAAAATTTGTCGTCCGGAACTGCCAACTATGCAAATTGCTGCGAGCGCCTTTTTTAATACCTCCTATGGGTGACTTACCTGAAGACTGTCTCGCCCATCACGAGCGTCCTTTTTCCGTTGTGGGCATAGATTATTTTGGTCCAATGCAAGTTGCGATTGGGCGACGACGAGAAAAGAGATGGGTGGCCTTGTTCACATGTTTGGTCACGAGGGCTATTCATTTGGAGGTGGTCTACAGTCTGTCGGCTGATGCTGCAATTATGTGTATTCGCCGATTCATAGCACGTCGCGGATCGCCGAGTATTATATGGTCAGATAACGGGACAGCATTTGTGGGTGCAAATTGTCAGGCTGCGGGAACTCTATGATCGTGCGGTCTCAGACTTCACAACGGATCAGAAGATTGAGTGGCGTTTCATACCTCCTTCGGCTCCGTTTATGGGTGGAGCGTGGGAGAGAATGGTCAGGAGTGTGAAAACGGCACTTAGTGCAACATTAAGAGATCGAGCGCCGTCAGATGAGATCTTAATGGCAGAAGCAGTTGGCGAAAAGCCTTGAGGCTTGCTGACCATTTTTGGCGTAGGTGGGTTTCCGAATACCTACCAACCTTAGCTCCTCGCCGCGTCCCAGGGACTGTCGATCAGGCCAGGGGACCCGGTTCTTATTGGGGACGGTGATCTTCCAAGAGGAACCTGGCCTCGGGAAGTGGTCGAAGCCACGTATCCGGGTCGCGACGGATTATTCAGGGTGGTAGATATTCGCACTGCAGGTGGGATCTTGACGCGACCCCTAAAAAAGGTAGTCGCACTTTAAAAAAAAAGGGGAGCATGTTACGAACCTGAATACAACCTCAACCACAACCTCCTTTTTTGACTTTATGGTAGATTTTTTGATACATACGTTGTCATAGTGATATTTGATTTATTATAATTTTAAAACCTATGTTAAACAAAATACAAGAAAATACTGAAAATTATACGTCTTTTATTCAGTATATTCAACACCCTGCCTGTTCCTTTGAGATTTGTCTGCCAATGTAGTTTTCTAGACGTTTATTGATGATGTGCAGGAGCACCTTGCTTGCATGGGATGTAATCGAGATAGTGCGGTAGTTCTCACATTTGCGCGTCCACCCTTTCTTGTGCAGCGGGACCACCACCGACTTCGTCCAATCCTCAGGCCACACTCCAGATTTCCAGACTTTTTGGCAGATGGAATGCATGAGCCCAGTTCCCCCTGTGCCCATCGACTTGAGCATCTGCGCGGACAAACCATCGCCACTGCATGCTTTTGGCTTAAGACGCTCGAGTGCAGCTTCTACTTCATGAAGAAGGATGTCAGGTTCTTCCTCGTTGTATTGCACTAGTTGGTCGGCATCGTCATTGCTCTCTTTATACAGCTGTTGACAGTACTGTCGCCATCTCTCAAGCACAAGATTTTTATCAGCCCTTTTCGTCCTCAATCGTCCAGTTCTTCGGTTTGAAGTCCCTAGCCAGAAGTTTCACTTTTGCAAACATGTCCTTAGTGTGTGCACGACTCGCAGATTGTTCCATCTCCTGACATACGGCGTCGATTGAGGCATTTTTATCTCGTCTGCATAGTCTTTGCACTGTGCTATGAAGTTCACGATATCGTGCCCTCGCAGCTTCGGAACTCAAACCGTTTCCTTTCACGCATCTCATTTCTTCTATAGCAGACCATGCTTCAGCGCTCATCCACTCAGCCTTTGGCTTCAAGGAGTTAGGGCCTGTTGCGATTACCTATTTAGCCGTCTCCAAAATTACTGATTACAGATATCATAAAATATGCCGTGTTATTTTTTTCGAAAT